AACGTTTAATAAAACCCTAAAAACAGAGCCGTCTCCAGCCAGAGTCAGAGGCGGTCGGGGGGTATTAGGAAGGCAAGCTGCAGACAAGTGTGAGAAGTGTTGAACCACACCGGCAAAGTGAAGATCTGTTCGCGCTATTTTTAACTCTGAATTTTAATGAAACATCTCTCCACTGAGCCCWCTCCCGCCTTTTTTTCTTTCCCCCTCAATGAATTCATTCACTCGCAACAGACATATGTTGTATGGAAACTTCAGTGGTCATATTACAGGGTGAAAGTATGTTATGCTAATTGCAAACTGTGCTTTCTGATGGATTATTTTAAAAAGCAATATGTTCTGGCTGCTGAAGGCGATAATTCTGCATATCCAATAAACCACTGCGCAGATTTTATTGAAACTCTTAGAAAGGAATTATTAGGCCCCTGTTTACAATTTTTTAAAGTTTTGGAGTCAACTCCATATAACACGGCTGCCACAGCTAAATCAAGCTTGGTCACCACAAAAATGGCTGATATTTACAAATGCTAAATTCTAATTTAATAAGGTAGAAGCTGAATATCACCCACAAAAAAACAGTTCAAACGCTACACATTTTCAATTCCTGGAAATATTGGCACCAACAGCAGATGATAACCGTGTTTGTCTGTTGGCAAAATATCTTATGAACCATTGGACAGATTTTATTGAAAATCTCTGAAAAAAATAACTGGATCTACATCTACAGCCCTTTAGCTTTTGGAGTCCTTTCAATCCAAGATGGCCACCACAGCTAATGGGCATTCGTTCACACGAGAAGCACTCCAACTCAGTCATTTTTTACAGTTACTGGGTTAAAAGTTTGTGTGGTGGTAGCTGAGAGTCATCTCTAACACTTAACCTAAGCAAGATCACATTTTTCTGTAAAGCATGACATTGTGCTGAGTTCAAGGATTGACCAAAAYGACTATAGTGGTTGATCTTRRTCTAAAACTCTACAAAAGCAGCGGGCAATATGCATTCCTTCCTTTAATTTGAAATAGCTWTGGATTTATGAAAAGCTAGTCAATCCCAGCAGATTTATACATTTTGTTAGAATCCTACTGCAGAAAGTTGTTCTAATTTACATAAGATTATTACTGTTTTTTTAAAACATCTCCATGTGATGTATTTACGCACATCCAACCATGAATGGATATGAGGCTCAGTCTGGAGGAATAAATAACCATCATCCAAACCCATTTGCCTTGCAGCAGCAGCAGCAGGAGCAGGAGGAGGAGGAGGAGGAGGAGGGAGGGTTTCACCTCCCCTGATGCGTGCTGCTCCATCAGAGAAGCCGGGTCCTGTGTCCCGTGCGGATGCGCAATAATGCATGTTTTTCTGGCACTCGGCTGGGTCAGTGAGGTGATGTGTGCCCTTTTTSTCGTTCAGCAGCTTTGCGCACACAAACGGTCAACACGTCTCGGACGCAGGCGGCAGCGGCGGCGCAGGAGAGCCTCGCGCAGCCCGGAGGAGGCGGTGAACTACAGGAGTTGTCGCTGCGCCCTCTCACAACAACCAAGTTTTGACGGGCCTGCTCCTGCTCGCGCCCTTCCGCGAGCGCGCGCGCGGCCGCGTTTCGTTTTTTTTTTTTTTCTTCAATGAAGAGGAAGCAGCCGCCCCCCGGGAGACTTGTTGGACCGAAGTGTGGAGCTTCTCCATCCCTGGGTTTAGCCCCACCGACACCCCCAGCCCTCCCACCAGGCTCCGCTCCTTCTTTTTAAATAAGTGGGCAGCGGAGGGGACTGTGGGATCATCATCATCATCATCATCATCATCATCATCATCATCATCATCATCATCATCATCATCATCATCATCATCATCATCATCATCATCATCATCAT